CGAGATGCCAATCGCACCCACCAGTCGTCACCGCACGTCCGCCGCCCGTGGTCTTCGTAGCATTTGTGAAAAATATGCCAAAGGGCCTTGTCGCGCACCAAGTTCTTGCGCAGCTTCTCTTTCTCCTTCGTGAGCGCTCTCTGCGTCGCGGCCCCCTTCTTCTCCGCTCCCTCGCACTTCTTTTTCTCCTCGGGAGGAGACAGGCGCGGGTCGCGATTTCTGTTGTTGCTGTTGTTTTTTTCTACGTTTAACTGTAGCAGGAATTACCGCCGCGATCCTGAAGGAAGCCGAGCTTCCAGTTCCTGGCCTCCTTCCAGGCGGTCTTCGCCTCGGCCTGCCAAGTCTTCGCCTCCTCCCGCGCGCTCTGGGCCTTCCGCATGTGCTCGTTGGAGCGTCTCCTGTGGACGAGCCACGAAAGGGAGGCGCCATCAAATGCCACGCAGAAGCGTCACGATTCGGAAGCATAGTACATCACTCACGTTGTATACTGTGCTTCCGAATCGTGTCGCTTCTGCGTGGCATTAATTAGACGCTGGGTTGTGGTATGGTGTTTTTTGTTGCACCATGGTCTTCAAAGCGTTTTCTTTCTTCTGGTGCTGCTCCGTCGCTTTGCGGACCGCCGCGCGGACCTTCTCGAGGGCCGCGCGGCGGAAGGTCGCCACCAGGCGCTTCGTCCGATCTTGTTGGAGGTAAGCTTCAAGCCTCTTTTTGGCTTGGTACTCCCGGTTCTTCTCAAGTTTCCGAAAGTACGCCTCTGTGCCTTTCGCTGGGTTGCCCATGCTTCCAGGCAGCGGAGTTCTAGCGGGGGCCTGAGCCTAAACACCTTTTTTTTGCCAATGGCACAAGTTGCATGCGATTGCTTCCCATTTCCATGTTTTTCCTTCCAGTCCACTCCCCCGTATCCTCCCCCATCCTCCCCCTCCTCCCTCGTCCTCACCCTCCCCGTCCTTCTCCTCCTCATCACCATCCTGCTCCTGCTCATTCTCCTCATGAGAGGCATGCGTACAAGCGGCCGCAGCAGGCGAGAAATATTATGAGGATGCCGCCAAATAAAGAACAGTGAAGAAGATGAAAAATGATATGAAGAAGAGTGGAACTGACAATCATAATAATAATAAAAGGAATAAGAAGAATAAGAAGAATAAGAAGAATAAGAAGAATAAGAAAAATAAGAATAGCAACACGTACAAAATAATATGTATGATCATGTAGGGGGCAAGCTTCTTAGGTTCCTGGGTTCCTGGATTCCTAATTTACTAATTCTTGGATCATGAGTTTTCTAGGTTCTTGGGTTCTTGGTTCCTGAAGTCTTGGGTTCTTAGGTTCTTAAGTTCCTGGGTTCTTAGGTTCCTGTGTTTCTTAAGTTCCTGAGTTCATGGGTTCCTAAGTTCCTGGGTTTCTGGGTTCGTACGTTCCTGAGTTCCTGGGTTTCTTAGGTTCCTGGGTTCTTAGGTCCCTGAGTTTCTGGATTATTAGGTTTCTGGGTTCCTGGGTTCTTGGGTTCCTGGGTTCTTAGGTTCCTGGGTTTCTTATGTTCCTGGGTTCCTGGGTTCCTAGATTACTGAGTCCCTGAGTTCCCCAACTCCCTTCCCCTGGATCTGTAGAGGAACAGTGCGATGGGTTGAGCCAGAACCTCGTCGCGGCGCGACAATGACGCGAAAGAGCGAATGACTGTGAGAACGGAGTGAGGATAACTAATGCTCTACCCCCTTTCCTGTATTCCCCTCGTCCTTTACTCCTCGTCCTTTCCCTCTACTCGCCCTCCTCTCCTTCCTCCTCATCCTCATCCTACTCCTCGTCTTGGGATGTCATTTTTTTTTTTTTTTTTTTTTTTTTGCCTTTTTTGCCTTTTTCGCATTTTCGCCTGCCCGCTCCTGGCGGCGCGGAGGGCCGGCCCAGCGCCAGGGCGCGAACGCGCGAAAATGCAAAAAAGGACAGAAAATGCAAAAAAAACAAAGAAAACCAAGGACATCCTAAGAAAACCATGCGAAAAAGCTGCAAAACCTAAGGAAAACAAAAGTTTTGGACGCCTGATAGCCACCAAACCTGTGAAAACACAAGGTTTCGGCTCATCGACGTCACGAAACACTGTGTTTTCACAGGTTTCGTGAGCACCAGCTTGCCAAAACCTTGCTTTTCCTTAGTGTTTGCAGCTTTTTCGCATGGTTTTCTTGGGATGTCATTGGTTTTCTTTGTTTTTTTGTATTTTTTTTGCCTTTTTCATTTTCGCCAGCCCGCTCCTGGCGGCGCGGAGGGCCGGCCCAGCGCCAGGGCGCGAACGCGCGAAAATGCAAAAAAAACAGAAAATGCAAAAAAAACAAAGAAAACCAAGGACATCCTAAGAAAACCATGCGAAAAAGCTGCAAAACCTAAGGAAAACAAAAGTTTTGGACGCCTGATAGCCACCAAACCTGTGAAAACACAAGGTTTCGGCTCATCGACGTCACGAAACACTGTGTTTTCACAGGTTTCGTGAGCACCAGCTTGCCAAAACCTTGCTTTTCCTTAGTGTTTGCAGCTTTTTCGCATGGTTTTCTTGGGATGTCATTTGGTTTTCTTTGTTTTTTTTTTGCTTTTTTTTTTTTTTTTTTCGCATTTTCGCCTGCCCGCTCCTGGCGGCGCGGAGGGCCGGCCCAGCGCCAGGGCGCGAACGCGCGAAAATGCAAAAAAAGCAGAAAATACAAAAAAACAAAGAAAACCAAGGACATCCTAAGAAAACCATGCGAAAAAGCTGCAAAACCTAAGGAAAACAAAAGTTTTGGACGCCTGATAGCCACCAAACCTGTGAAAACACAAGGTTTCGGCTCATCGATACCGCGATACAAACTGCTTTCTTTTTGTGGAGAGAATACAACCTGATTCCTTCTGTGGCGGATTACACATTGATTTCTTTCTGTCGGATTGACAAACAACAAGTTCCTTGTGTGGCGGAATTACAAAGACCCCCTCCCCCCAATCAGAAAAACATGCTGAGGCGTTCTTTTCAAAAGCAAAACTTCACCATGCCGACCCGACAACTCGCGTCGTCGCATCTTCGTTTTCCGCGTTGTTTGTTGTTGTGATTTGTTCCCCCCGAGGGGACTCCCAGAACACCCCGTTCTCGATGATTCGGCGCTCTGATGTACTGCCATGTGCTTGCGACTGGTCAGGGTCCGAGCTCCTGCGGCCCCGCCTCGTGGAGGCTCGCGCAGTCTGCCCGGAGGCCGGGGCGGAGGGCGCCGCGTAGACAGCAGCGGAGCGATGCTACGGAGCAGCCGGCGCAAAGAAGCTTCTAACACAAATGCAGCAGGCGCCGAAACGGAGGCGCCAGAGCGGACCGAGCGGGCGACGTCTGGGCTTCACTATCCAAGAGCATGTTGGCGGGCGGAAGCCCAAGGTGGGGGCCTCTTGGGCGCCTCACGGGGCTTCGTGGGGGCCTCTTGGTGGCCTCCGGGGGCCTACAGGCGGCCTCTGGGGCCAGAGACCTCGAAATATCGGTTGGCGGTCTCCCTCTGGGCCCTCTCTTGGGTAGCTCTTGGGGCACAGTTGGGTTGTCTGGGGAGCCTCCTGGGCCGTCTTGGGGCCCTCTTCGGGGCCTCGTGGCCCGTCTTGGAGCGATCTGAAGGGCCTCCGAGCGAGGCCGTGAGGGAGCGCTGGGAAGCGGGGAAAGCGAAAACGCCTAAATCCTTTAAAAACCATTGGAAAACGTGTGAATCTTGCCTCCCAGGGCCCTCGTGGGGAGCCCCTTGAGTCCGTCCTGGAGCGTGTTGGAATCCTCGGCGGCCGTCTTGAGGGCAGCGTGGGCGTCTTCGGGGCCTCTTGGGACCGTCTAGGGCCCTCTCGGGACCTCCACTAGCCTGTCGCGGCCTGCTCCAGGGCGGGCCTGGGCCGCCTTGGGACCCCTCTGGGCCTTCTCTTGGCGCGCTCTTGGGGCTCTTGGGACATCCTGGACCGTCTTGGGGCCCTCGTCGGGGCCTCGTGGGCCTTCTTGGAGCGATCTGAAGGGACTCCGAGCGAGGCCGTGAAGGAGCGCTAAAAAGCGGTAAAAACGAGAACGCCCAAATCCAAAACACTCGGAAAATGAGGGAATCTTGCCTTCCAGGGCCCTCTTGGGGAGCCTCTTGAGTCCGTCCTGGGGCGTGTTGGAATCTTCGCCAGCTGTCTTGAGGGTATCTTGGGCGGGGCCTACTCAGAGTGGTGCAGAACGCAGCCAAGCCGAAACAATCGAAGCAAACATCCAATCACTGCCCAACCACAGGGGGTCGGAGGTGGCCTCCACCCTCCCCCCCTGCTCCCTTCCTCCCCTCCTCCCCGTTCCCCCTTCGCCCTCCTCCCCCTGCCCCCTCCCCCGTCCCTTCCCCCTCTGACGGCTCTCACGCCAGCCCAGCCCGATCGCATGCAGGATCGAGCAGAGGCGAGAGAGCAGCGCAGGCACCGCCTGGCACCCCGGCCCTTTTCTGCAACTCTTTGTGTCCCAAGAAGAAGTAGATATATCGATATATGTATATACATATATGTCTAGACATCTATATGTATGTGTATATGTATACGTATAAGTATATGTACGTGTATATGTATATGTGAAGGTATATGCATATGTATATGTACATGCATATGTATAGACAGTTGCATTTGCACTTGTATATGTATATGTATATGTATATGTATATGTATATGCATATGTAGATGTGCATGCATATGTATGTGTAAGTGTGTATATGTATATATACAGACATATATATAGAGAGAGAGAGAGAAACAAATAAAGAAAGAGAGAGATAGAGACAGAGAGAGAGAGAGAAAGGGAGAGAGAGAGAGAGAGAGAGAAACACAAAAAAACATGAGAGCGAGTTGCGCTCCCCTTGCGGGCCCGATGCCCGCGAGCGAAGCAGAGGGAGAAAGAGAGAGAGAGAGAGAGAGAGAACACGTCTCCCCGACGCCGCCACCGTCCACCGCCACCGCCCGCCTTTCCCCACCCCCCAACGCGCTCCCCTCTCGCCTCCGCCCTCCCGCCCTTCAGCGGCGCGTCGCCGGCATCCTGCTCGGCGCGGGCGCGCCTCGCCTCCTCCCGGGCGCCGTCGGCGAGCAGACGCAGCGACTCGGCCTTCGACTCGCAGCCCGACGGCAAGTTCGGCAGGTGCTTCTCGAGGACCGCGTCGAGCTCGCGCTCGAGCTGGTCGAGCCTCTCCACCTGGGGCGGAGGAGGCGGAGGCTCCTCCTGCTGTCCCTCCCGCGCCTCCCTTTCTCTTGGCTGGCGGCGCGCTGTGAGCGGCGCGGGGGGAACGAAACGCATCGCCTGGCGCTGGGGCGCTCAGCCCGATACATTCCATCAGGCCTTACTGCTAGAATGTTCTGTGGGTGTTTGAAACAGGGCTCACGCACGATACGCAATTCTCGGGCACACGCGACTTCCTACGCACGACGGGCGATTTAGTTCAACCGCGCTCGTAAGACGCGTGTTTCACCTTGGGTTCCTTGCGCCGTGTGTTAGGACTTCTTACATATGCCTTTCTTTTTCGCCTGTGACACGGCAAAGGCGCTCCACTCGGCTTGGCGGCGCACCCGAAATCGTGCCGCGCCTCACTGCCCACGGCGTGTGCGCGGGAGAGGGGCACGGCACGGCACGAGTAGCGGGCAAGGAACTGTGGGTGGGTGAGGGATCAGGACAGTGGGGGGCAGGGAAGAGGATCTCAGGATCTCAAGGCCATAAGCGGTATGTCCAACGGGCTACTGCATGTGAGCATGAGGAGCGGCGAAAAAACAAACAGATTCGAGTGAAACTCCCGCCTGCTCCTCGAGAGCGAGGGGGCCGCGCCGCGGCCTGAAGAACTCGGTGGTCTGGAGCTGTCCCAGCTCGAGCCTTCTCGGGAGAGCGCGTCTGGCCTCCCTGCGGCGAGCGGCCTCGGCCCTGTTCCTTGAAATCCTCTCCTGCTGGCTGCTAGTGGCCAGCGGGCCTGCTCCCTCGTCCCGCGGCTGGGGGGCGGGGGCAAGGGGAACACTGTGCTTGGGCCCACGCCCAGGGAGGGCAGGGCCCGACTGGCTGGGAGGGGGGGCGAGAGAAGAGGCACAGGTTGGGGGAACAGCAAAGGGTAGTCCTCATCACTAGGGTCTGGGGGCGGGGGTAACGGAGGAGAGGGAGCCGGTTGGTCAAACGTGGTGTCGTGAATACGCTCTCGGGAAACGAGCATCGTCGGCAGCAGTATGCGAAGACTCCGACTCCTCCACACAGGGATCCAGTGCCACAAAAAACTGCGCCATCTCTTCCACAAGGCAATTCTCCTCGTGGGCGGCACTTTCCCAAGAAAGGTTCAGGACATCGACGATGCTGGCTGCTATCTCCATACGCACGTCTCTGGGATACCGTTTTATGGGCGAGGTTCTGGACAAACCATCCTCGTCTTTTCCAATGAGCACCTGATGTGCTCGAGGGCGGTGATTACATCTCTTTTGATTCCCGCGAACCTGGACCTTGGATGTGAGAGTAGGGAGTCTGACCGTGAGAAGGGTAGTGGGAGAGCGAAAGGCCTGGCCACACACGCATTGGTCGAAAGAGACCATGTCAGCACACGGAGCGGTAGCAAGAGCACGAGCGGTACGGGTGTGCCAAGTTGTGTATGCTCTCGGCTCCCACGATGCCTCTTCAGGGTGCTCCATGATGCCACACGCGCCCTACAATGTATAATGTAGGAGGGACATGTACGTGCACACCAGTAGCTGAAACCCTATAAGCAATTGCTGATGCTGCTTGAGGGTAACATCTGGGCGAGCCTACACATGTTTGCCGGTTCTCAAGGGAGGTGGGTCATGGTACCCGTGGGACCTAGGTCGTTCATGCTGCCAACGTATCGCACTCCATGTTTCACGCGGGGGCCCCCAAAAGGACCCCAATAGCACGTCCATCCTGTAAGTACTGCAACCAGTGTTTAGTAACAGTATGCTGTGTGAAATCTCCTAGCTCTGCATATATGTCCACATCCAAGGATGTAACTATAACTTGGTATGGAGCCACTGAGGTCGCGAACTCAAGAAATTCCCGAATATCACCCGCGCGCCGTGCGCAAGAGAACAGATGAAGAAAGGACGCCACAGTTTATCGCATCTCTGGCACGAGGCTAGACGTCTGAAAATCAGCAACGTCTTCACGGCTGTATGGGAATTCGTTGAGATGAACATCATGCTGAGGTGGTGGAGGGGGAGGACCTTGTAGTGCCTGGGCTCCTGGATCTCCTGCCTGATGCTCCCACTCAATGGCTGGGGTACCTAGCCGTGGGCCGGAATGGTACTCGGCCTCTCGAAGCATCTGTGCTGGGAGGGAGAGGGGACAGGAAATGAGCATGAGAGACCGTCCTCGGCGCTGCGGAGGATCATACCGAAAAACATCAACGAAGTCCTCCTGCTGCTGCGCCTCCTCCAACTCCGCCTTCTCCTCCTCCTTCTTCTCCTCAATATCCTCCTCGTCCCCACCCTCCTCATTATCATCATCTGTATCATCCTCATGCTCCTCCTCCTCCTCCCTCCTTACCATCGTCACTGTTCCCCCTCCCCTTCCCGTTCGTCAACCTCGCTCCCTCCCTGCTCCCCCTCCTGGGAATGGAAGAGTGAAATGGAGGATGAGGCAGGGCAACTCGTTGTGAATAGATTTCTCAGCGGTGTCCACCCTTGCCGAGTTGAGCTTCGCGATGGCCGAACGTATTCGAAGCACGGTGGTCTTCTCGAACTTCCTCTTGCTCTCTTCGGACATCGGCGTGGGCCTCGGGTCGGATCTTGCGATGTTCCTGGTCCACCCTGGGTGCTTGGAAGCTCCTTTCCCCCAGGACGAAGGGAGCAACAGTTGTTCGCAATCAGGCTCTGTCCACAGGGTCTCTCCTATACACTATCTATGGCAAGAGGGGCGTTAGCGACGGGAGCTCCAAGCGGTAGACTTCCTTATGGGTGTCCGTTCCTTGCTCATCAAGGATTGCCTTAATCCTCTCCTCGAGGGCATACCCCCTCAAGGCCAGCGCGATACAACACGATACAATGCAACGCAGCTAAAACGTGAAGTGCAGGGCAGCATGAAGCATGACATGGCGGTCAACCCATAACACAGTACCGCCAAACGATGCAGTCTGCATTGCAACGAGGTGCAACGCACAACATATCGAAACAACACAACGCTAAACAAACCAATGCGATACAATACTAAGCATTACATACTATGAAGAATAAAGCAAACAACCGCCACAATCCAAGCACGTACAAACCATAGCATGAGACGTGATGCAACACACTGTGTTGCAATACATTGTAGTGCCAGTTGTATGAGACACCGTATGAAACTTAGGCAAGATAGCGCCGCAACATGCCACACCCTGCTGCTTGTATGTATTCGGGTCGGCCTGAGTTTGCTCCAAGCTGTGGCTTGTCTGAAGCCAGAACTTTCCACGCCAAAGTAAATAACTCCTAACCTTGTTCGCGCCGAGCTCTTCAAATATTTCGATGCCGGCAAACAAGAATTTCGCGGGGGAGCAAAATGTGATGCCTGCTGTCTTCAAGGCGCTGGCAGGGCGAAGTAGTATCTCGTAGGGGACACAACTGAGGAACAGCACGAGGGCGAATGGAGAGGAAGGGGGGGTGCGAGGACTGCATGAGGTGTTGATGGGCGGAAACCATGGGTGCCCTGGAGTGGGGATGCAAGGAGACGGGGGTGTGGAATCGAGGAGGACGGGGCTCGCAGTAGCACTGCTCCGACATCTCACGTCCGGAGCCGGCCGGAAGACGTCCGAGGTCGTGGCCCGGTCCTTCGACGCGCGAGGAGGGAGAGGGGGAGAGGGAGGGGGAGGAGGAGGAGGAGGAGGAGGAGGAGGAGGAGGAGGAGGAGGAAGTTCCTGGAGCCGCAGTGTGCCCATCGGGCTCCGCTGCGCCCCGCTCGGCCAGTGGCTGGCAGGGTGCGGGGCGCACCTGGGCTCTCCGTGGCCCGTGGCCTGCCGTGCGCCGTCCGACGCTCGGAGGGGCGGCGGCTTCAGCAGTCGATCGCGGTGCCTCGTGGCTCGTGGCCCTCGCGGCCCCCTCTCGGGTGTTGCTAGAAGTGCCCCTGGCCCAAGGTACCCCAGATTTCGTAATAAAGGGAGAGGGGTCTCATTTCGGGGGGGGGGGTCTCCTCCAGGCTATCTTGGAGGGCCTGGGGGGGTCTGGGGACGATGTTTGTTTTGGAGGGTTCTCCCACGGGGGAGGTCTGAAATGGCTTGTCTTGGAGGGTCCAGACCCCCTCCCTTTTATTACGAAATCTGGAGTACCCCCAGGATTCTCGGGGTGGCCCAGACGGCCTCCAGGGCACCCCTCACGAGGCCCAGAGGGCCCCAGGGGCTCAGACATGGGGCGAGCAGCTGGGGGCACCTTGGGCCAGGGGCACTTCTAGCAACACCAGACCCTCGCTGGGGTTGCGCATCAACTTTCAATTCCGTCGTTCGCGGTCTGCGCCTCTCGTACCTCGAGGCGCCCTGGCGGAAGAACCGTGTCGACGTACAAGCTGGCGACTCGCAGCCTTCTGCAGCCTCCTGTGGCCCCATACCACTCGTAAGTGCGGCATGGACTGCGACGACAAGTGCTTGCGGAATCCGAGATTCAGTAGACTGCTCGGGGCCTACCTGCAGGGTGCGAGGCTACACTCGTTCAAAGGACGGGGAAGGGGCGCAGGACTGGACAAGATTATCGTGGCCCCAACGGCTCGTGCCCCTCCCGTGGCACCCGTCGGTCAAGCGCGGCCTAGATGTGGGCGGATGGCTCGAGGCAGCTCTGGACCGTGAGCGAAGGAGTCGGTCTGCACGGGGGGGGGGGGGCGCCCCTGATCGGGGCGCCCGCATCAAGCGGGACCAAGGCTGCCGTGACCCACGGCGTCTCTCCTGGCTCGTGGCCCCTTTTGGCCATATCACCCGTGGCCTCTGGTGCCCAGTGGTCTGCAGCACATCGAACCTGGCCAGGAGGACGGAGCAGGATCGAGGATGGAGGAAGAGGGAGGCCAAGAGCAACAAGCCACACCGGGAGCCGTCCCTGACTCCGGATCCGCCCTACTTTGGGGAAATTCGTAAGTAGGGCTTGGAATTTCCGCCTTACTTTTCAAGCCCCGCTGATGCCAATTTCCGCCCTACTTTTCTGTTGCTGTTTCCGCCCTACTCCTGTGGATTTCCGCCCTACTTTATGTTGGGTGCAGCAATTTCCGCCCTACTTTTTCGGCCTCTTATAGGTGGATTTCCGACGCAATTTTAAGTTGGGAAAAAAGCCAAAGTAGGGCGGATCTGGAGTCAGGGGAGGCCAAGAGCAACAGGCCACACCGGGAGCCGTGGACGGGGAACCCGAAGCGCCGCCCCACAACGCGAGGAGGCCTGGCCTTTGGGCCACGACTTGGGCCTCCAGCGGCCGATCGGGATGATTCGGGGCCCCCCCCGAGCGCCTGCGGCGAGGCGCAGCTGCTGGCACGCATCCCGCGCAGGAAAAACCAGGCAGGAACCGGCGGGAGGGGGGAGGGAGGGAGGGAGGGAGGGGAGGGAGAGGAGGAGGAGGAGGAGGAGGAGGAGGAGGAGGAGGAGGAGGAGGGAGGGGAGGAGGAGGAGGAGGAGGAGGAAGAGGGAGGGAGGAGAGGAGGAAGGAGGGGGGGGGGGAGGGGGGAGGGAGGAGGGAGGCGGGAACCTCCGAAGACGCCCCCCGCCCCTGGCCATCGCTCGGGCCTCCACTCCCCGTGTTTTTTGCGGTCGGTTTCGTGCGTGCTGTCTTGCTTTTGCTAAAGCAAGCCAGGCTGCTCCTGGATGGCCCTCACCGAGAAAGCATGCAGCCAGGATGCTCCTCGACGGCCCCCACCGAGAAAACATGCACACGTCCGAGCGATGCCGAGACACGCCCCGGCCGGCGGTTCGCGCCCAGCCGGCGGCCTCCGCTCCCCGCGGGCCTCCGGACGCGCGGGGCGGCCAGGAGACAGCCGGGCCTGCTTGGGCGGCGGCGCCCCGTCCGCGCCGTGCGCCTCGCTCGCCCGGGGGGGGGGGCGGGCTCGTGCCTCGAGGGCCCGGACAGAAGGGCCGTCCAGCATTCCAGGGCTGTCGCACCCCTCCACCTTTCCAGAGTCTTTCGCGGCCCGCCGGCCTCGCCGGCTCTCCAGAGCTTTCGCGGCACCCTGCATTGCTGCCAGCCTTCCAGCTTCTCCGGCCCTCCCCGCTTTCCCAGCTCTGCACTCCAGCTTCGCACCCGCCCCAGCTCAACAGCTGCCCCCGGCCCTCTAGCGTGCCCAGCTGTCAAGTTTCCCTCGACTCTCCATGGTTACAGCTTTTCGGCCTTCTGCCCAGCTTCCCCAGCTCCTGGCGCCCTTGCTAAACAGCTTCCCAGGTTTCCCCTTTGATACCTTCATTCTCAAGCTGTCGCAACTATCCTCAGCTGCACCCAGCTCTCTCAGGAGTTCACGCACTTGCATGCTTCCTAGCATTCGCAGCCTTCCTATCATTATTCTAGTACTCTCTCTCTCTCTCTCTTTCTCTCTCTCGCTCTCTCTCTCTCTCTCTATATATATGTATTCGTATATATTTCTCTCTCTCTCTCTCTCGGTCTCGCGTTCTCTCTTGACTCCGTCAATGTGTCATGTATATGTCCTCTCTCGTTGTTGTGTTTCTCTCTATACATGAAATATATTCGCATGCACATGAGTACTATATACTCCTCTCGCAGGTACGCTGCTCGCTCTGTGCATGTACAAGTTTGAAAAGGGTTGGGGGCCCAACCAGCAGCTTCGCCTTAGGCGAAGCCCAGCTCCCGCTCTGTTGTCCCGTAGTAACGATAGTCTCAGTAGTAGGGGGCGAGCCATATCAAGCAATTTTGGTAGCGATGGCAAATGGTACACCTCGCGCTGAGGTGTAGTCAGATCTGGGCGACCGGCCGCTTTGAGCCAAGCAGCCGCGGATGCACGCTCGTTCCCACTCACACGCAACACCCAGCTCACTTTAGTGTACATACGTATATATTTATATAACATTTAGATGTACAGTACACGTGTGTACACATATTCCTGGAATTATAATGATACATCCTGCATGGATCCCCACCCCAGATGGCCCACGCACACCCATACCGTTTTCGACGGTCCTCCCTGGCCCCGGGGCACCTTTCGAACGGACTTCCAAACTTTCCCAACCAGCCGCCCGCGCGCCGAGCGATCGGCTGAAACGCTTTTCATAGCTTCCCGACGGTCCAAGACGCCCGAAGGCGGCGCGCAAACGGCTCTACACGGGCCCACAAGACTCCCAAGAGCGCCGCGACATGCAATTCAAGACGTCTCCAAGATGACCCAACAAGCCTCCAAGATGCCCCAAGAGACCTCCAGGAGAACTCCCAAGAGGGCCCCAAGAGGCAAAAATCAATGTTTTTTTCTTAGGTTTTGGACAGATTTGGGCGTTTCAACCTTTTCGGTTCCCCGACTCCCTAAACGGCTCAAGAGGCCTCCAAGATCGCCCCAAGAGGGCCCAAGAGGCCCTCAAAAGTGCCCCAAGACGGCCCAATACGGC